ACGTTTATCTAACATGCAATCCTTGCTGATATTGAATGCCATATTTATTCCCGATTCAAGTTTCATCCTGACTTAATTGTCAACGTCGCTTCTACTGTAATGCATCGCACGGATTATCCAATTTTCCGTAGTCTGCTCCCTCTTTGTAAACTACCCTATAATGGGACAAGCCGTGTCACGCGGTTACCGACTTTCAAGTCCTGCGTACCGGTAACTAATTCAGGACTGAACATGTCTAAAAAAAGTGAATATGTCTAAAAAATTTGCCTTTCCTCCGGAACTACAATCTGCCTGTAGGTAAACTTATCTGGAAATCAGTCTCAATTAAACTTTCTCGCACTTTTTTCTGTTCAAGTCAAAGCCTTGTTAATGTGGTCAAAAGTCTGATTGCTTACACCAGAATATTAATTGATTGCTTTGAGATAAGGAAACATTACCAGTATAAGATCAAATCCCTCTCCAAATACCAAACGATTCCCCTACAAGCAAAAACTTCTACTGCATTGTGACTCATCAATAATAGTTTCGTTAAATTTTTCGAAATAATCTTACTTTTGAAATGAGTTTGACTCCATTCTGAAGCACTAATCATACTTTCGTCAATTATTCTCTGCTTCACTGGAACCTACGTAAGGGAGTTAGCAATGTGCAAAATGCTGGATAGTGTGAATTATTATTTAATGAATAAGACACCAAAAACATTTTACAGGAATTTTCGCCTCCATAATCTTAATATTTAAAATTTTCAAATCAGTATTATAAATGGGGCAAAGATAGCGTTCTTAATTTACTTACAATGGAATCAACGTATAGGGGCGTTGACAATGTGCACAATGGTGGATAGAGTGAATTATTATTTAATGAATAAGACACCAAAAACATTTTACAAGAATTTTTGCTGCCATAATCTTAATATTTAATATATTCTCATCACTATTATAATTGGCGGCAGAGATAGCGCGTTTCTTAATTTACTTACACGAGACCCTAAAAAATTTTTTAGTATCATAAGCTAGACTCATATCTAGTGGTAATACCGTGAACTAATGTTTAAAACGGGAGCGCTGCCGTAGCCCAAAAATTTGACTCTTATATAAATCAGCCCAAAAGCCAATGCCAACCCTCTACATGCAATAGAAATTGTCAGTCTAATACCTATGCAGCTGTTCTTACTTGCCTCATTTCGCCGCACCAGCTTGAAACAAGCAATGCCTCATCCCACAAACTGATACTACAAACGGATTACGCCCAATAGCTCCTACACCAATGATTTAAGCCCATACCATCACTTCTTACAAATGCCGTAAGCCACAGAATTTTATAAACAGAAAGTGGGTGGCCCAGTGGTTACAGTTCTTAAATAGTACCAAGAGTGGAGCAGAGGTGCGGGATCGATCCCAGCTCTGTGCGCCAGTTTCTGGTCAGAATCGGCGAGGTGGTCGCGGGCTGTGAGTTGTGTGTTCGACACATGCAACAAGCTGTGAATGTTCTGCGATGTTAAGAATCGGCGACAGGCCTACGGCCTAATAAACGCTGAAACCGCTATTTTATTATAATATTATATATCTATATCATGGCTTCATTTTCCGAGTCAAGATATTACTTATGAACAGATTTATGTTAAGAATATATTGTATGATATGAGTAGACACGTGTACACTAGGTGCAACGCACGGGCGTCAAGCGCCTCACCGTCCCTCTGTGCAGCGTCTACGTACGCTTCTTGTGGGCAACGAAGCGATTGACGAGCTAGCGATTCACAGTCGTCCTGCCTCATGCAACACAAATGCTGCACGCAGTGGACGGCTGTCTGTGATTCAGCAGTGTTTTTGCACACGCTGGTCCTTAACAACAATTGGTCCACTAACGCCACACTCGTTTGGACTCGCTCTCTAGTAGAGAGGCTAATATTGATCTCTATATAGACCACGAATGCCTGTGGAGAGTTCAAAGAAGTATAAAAATCGAAGTGTAAAAGAACAAGCTCCTGTGAAAATAGTTGAAATTTCAAGAAGCTTTTATGTACAAGTCACCTTTGCCGAGGTTCGCTAGAAAATTCATACGTTGCCTTTGCAATTCCGTCATAAAATCAAGCTAAAACGAGAATCAACGAAATCAGGCGCAGGTGCTGAGCTAGAGTACACACCATTTTTTCGCCCAAATACGGCAACGCCTACATCTTTTCTTCACAGCAACACTCTATGAAAATGGCATAGAGCTCCGATTCGGAAACAATCATCCCCACTGACGTCTAACTAGAAACTAAACTTCGAAACGCGCGGTCGCGAGCTCCCGCGTAAAAAAATAAGTGTGAACGGCTGTGGGCGTCAGGCGCTGCAGCAAGCGCTTGACACTCGCCTCACCGCCCATATCGTTGCCCCTAGTGTAAACGGGCCTTTGGGCGTTGCTCATCTCTTGCTGCAATTACTTGTAAAACAATTCACGTGGATAAACCGAACGTCCCAGAATACAACTACGACGTGAATGCGAGTCGGTCTTTGTTTACAGATATTCGGCAGTCGTAAGTGGGCTAGAAACCTGACTTCGTTTTATTTAATGACTCCAGAACTATGACTTCGGGACCAGCCGTGTTTGCCTGCATTCTTAATACTGCACGTGATGAAAATTATGATTTTGTAAAACGGTTTGGTCCGATAACCTCCTGTATGCAATTTCTTCCGAACTTGCCAGCTCGTGCACCGGTGCTTAAAATGCTGACAATGCATGACACTTGGTGCAAGGTTTAGTGACGCCAGTGCTTAGGATAGTTACAGTTACACTTGCTGCACTGATTGGTGACGCCACTGCTTAGGATAGGGACAGTTGCACTTGGTGCAAGGTTTAGTAACGCCAGTGCTTAGGATAGTGACAGTTACGCTTGGTGCAAGGTTTGGCGATTCTCCTGACGCTGCTCACGTTTTATTGCTTAAATTTTGTGGCACAATCGTTCACACTTTTAACGCCATTTTAAATAACCTTATTTCCATGCTATTTTGCCAAAAGTTTAAGTAGTGAACTAAGAAGTGACTATAAGAGGTTGACACGAGATGACCAAGAGGTGGGAAACCATTTTTCTTCCGATATTTATTCATTTCATTAATTCTTTATCCTTTCCTTCTACATTGATGATTCATTTTTCATCCTTTATCAAGACATTCCTTATTCATAAGTTTTTATTAATAAATAAAGGTTTACTATTATTTCTTGATAACTTAATTATTAATTAATTAATTGAGTAATTACCCATTATTTATTCATTCCGTTACCAATTTTTGTCAATTGTTATATCAATTCTTTATCCATTCTCGTTCCTTATTAATCTATTTTGTATGTATTTTCAAATATATTTCTATCCATTATCCATTCATTCATCATCCATTTTTGCCGTTGTTTATCAATAATTCTGTTTGCAAGTACATGAAAATATTGTTTCTTCATTCTGCATCAATTCTTTAGGGGGAGTTTAGTGTCCATGCTGTGTTCATTCCTCATTAATTATTCATCCCTCATCCATTTATCCATTATTTATTATTTGTTTGTTTTATTTTTTTATGAATTTTAGCTATTTCAGTAAGGGTTTCAAGTATTCTTGTAAGCTTTCCTGCATTTTTTGTACATTTTTCATCGTCTTTCATTGTTTGTTAACAAAGTACCCTCGGACCCTCAGTATACCACATCGCAAGTACCCTCGGACCCTCAGTATACCACATCGCAAGTACCCCCGTACCCTCAGTATACCGCATCACAAGGACCCGTGCCCTCAGTATACCGCATCACAAGTACCTGTACCCTCAGTACATCACATAACGATGAAAATCCTACAAAATTTTAGACAAATAAAAATGGCACAAAACAAAACCAATAATTTTTTTGTATTAATTCTTATTGCGTTCATTATTTTAGTCCATAAGGCTTTAGAGTAGAATTGTACAGAAAGCTTCACTTGTAACACTTCAATACGTTACCAATTATCGATCCTAGATTGATAATTTTAAGCACGTTTAATTGTGCACGCTTTCAGCTGTTATTATCCATATCATATCCATATTCCATATCATATCCATATCCATATTCGTGCCACGATCATGAATTCCGATTCCCGTTCATGCCATTCATGGAAGACCACAGGAATCTGGAATCGGGTTTTACGGATCTGCTGTGCGGTATAAATCCTCGTGAGTGGGAATGTGTATTACGATAAAGGCAATAATCGCTCCGAGGGCACTTTTTTATAACGCTGATCATCAGCACGTAATAAAAATGACCATTTTACAGCCCGGATGTGTGCATTAGTCTTGACTTGATTGGAATGATTGAAATTTAACAGTGCCATCGAACACCTGATTATAGGATGCGTCTTGATTGCCAAATGAAGGTTCTTCTCTATTTTTAGGCTCAATAATTCATTTCAATTTCAGCGTGAGCGTCTACATTCCCATCGTCTACAAATTCATTGAGCGTGAGCGTCTACATACTTTGTTTACAAAATTTATTTTCAGATAATAATTAGCGACGAATTTTAGTGTATAATGTATCAATGCCACAGTTCTAGCCCACCAACTGTGCTGCAAATTTAAATTCATCTTTTAAACTCAATTCAATCAACTAAACTTCTTTCTCTTGAAACAAAATCACTTTGTTCGCAGGCTCTTTTATAACCTCGAACAGTCATTTTTTTCCCCGTTATTCGGTACATTATTTAATTTTTTGTTTATAAGTCTTGACGTACGTGTGTATAGGAGATCATATATTTGAATATTCTTAACTAATCCCGTAGAGTTTTTCTACTCGTCATAGCGTGGATTAACCAATTAACCAATAAATACTAATTATTTTTCTGTGAGAAAATATGTATTATGGTGATCAATATTTTCCTTTTGTTCTTTTTAATTTGTCGTTCATTATAGTTAACAGATGCAATTGCATTTGAGATTTACATCTAACATCATCATAATGCAGTTGTAAGTTCCGCTCTGAAATAAATTTTTATTATTTTTCAGAAAATATCTCGTATCCAGTTAGCCTTAATATTCTGCTAGTACAAAGAACGCCCTCCACAAAATGATTTGAGGACGCTACATAGAAAAGAAAAGAGCAAGCAATCTATCATGAGCGAAGAGGCAGCACGCTCCGAGTGAAGAGAATCTCTTCGAGTCCCGCGAGGGAGGAGGGACGTAAACTTTCGAGGAGGAGCGTCGGGAATTTCCAAAGCCGATCGTCTGGTGTGAGGCGGGCTTTTGGCTTCAGGTCCTACCTTCATTGGAGGATCTTCGGGACAATAGCCCTAATACGTCCTATATAAGTTTGCTCAATCTCAAGTTCCGACAGCAGTTGATTCTGAAAGCCCAGAGGTAACAGTTCAAGTGATCTGTGGTGAAGAATTCTTTGAGACAATCTCAGGTGTGTGACCAGTGCTTACCCACATTGTATCAATGTCATCCAGTATGATGTATCCTGCACTCTTGCAACAAATCATCACTCATCAAATGCAGAACACGTTCCGAGTACCACAGTTTTCGTGGGTGCATCCGCCACCCACAATGACACAACCTAGTCCGCCATCATCTCCACCTACTTCTTGTGCCACTGGATGTCCATGGACTCCGAGAACTCATCATTCCCGCGTTCCATCCTTCACCATCGATGCAATTCTAGGACACCAAAACACCTCTCACAAAAGCCCCGTAAGCCCAGAAGTTCGTAAGAAAATCCCTGGTCACGATATGCGAATTTCTGCTCGACCTTCTCCTTATCCCTGCAACCCCGTGGAGGCCGTCGCATCTCCCGCCGTTACCTCAGGACCAACTTCCAGCCCCGGTAAAGCCAGTAAATCAAAGCGCATCAGGACGATCTTCACCGCCGAGCAACTCGAAAGACTCGAGGCCGAATTTTCACGTCAGCAATATATGGTTGGACCAGAGCGAGTGTTTTTGGCTAATTCTTTACAGTTAAGCGAGGCTCAGGTCAAAGTTTGGTTCCAGAACCGGCGTATCAAGTGGCGAAAACAGTTCATTGAAAAGCAACACGGCCGCTTCTCGAGCGTTTACTCCGATGGTCATGACCGTGAGTGTTCACGTAGTCCTATCTCGTCTCCAGAGCAGTTGGATATCACGTCTACTGACGTGTCTGACTGCGCTGATGAAGTTTTAACACAAATGGAAAAAGTTCCTGAAAGGATTAAGTTGGAAAAGTCTCCCACATCGCCTACCTCTCTGCCGCGGTCTAGAAGCCCTTCACCTCTGTCTCTGCCATCAGCTCCTTCATCATCCATTTCCCCTTCATCATCAGTGACAAGCAGACTGAGCGTTGAAATTTCAGAAAGTCCAGCAAAAGCCAAGCCAGAAATTAACTTTCCGTTGAAAAAAACTTACGAAGAATCCAGTTCTGTCGATAAGCTCAACAACAACAACAACAATGTCCTTCCTTCTCGTTTTGCCCAAGTCTATTCGTCTGAGCAAAGTCACCTTCAGACGGGTAAAGAGAATCCTTCACAAGTTCAGGCATCCTGCAGTCCATAATCCCTTGAGTGTGAATTTCCTTGTATGTGAATAGTTTGTAAATAGCAGGTGTCGTTTAATTAATTAATATCTTCTCAATTTAATTTCTAAGTAATATTTACAGTTTAGTTCATTTCTCAATTTGTACGTTAACGAATGATTAAAAATTTTTCTCAACTGTGACCTGATCATTCTAAGAAAAATTAAATTCTATACCTATTTTTAGAATTCAGCTGATGATCCAAATTAGCTTAAATTAATAAATGATTCAGTCTCAAAATAAAAATCTAAAGTGACGCGCACACCTGGGTAAATTGAAAATACTATGCATGATATTAAATTGATCGACGATATTTCAATTTAAAATTATATCGTTCTTAAGTTGAAGATATCAAAATGTCTAGCTGTTATATATAGTGCGTCTTCGTCTATCATTTCTTTGGCTTAATAAGATGAAAATAATGGTAAATCATGGAAAAGGTAAAAAATTTGATGTAAGTCAAAGTCTAATATTTCGATATTTTGTAAGTTAATTCAAACATGTGTAAAGACTTCAACATTTTTGTAACATGACTCGAAGAATTCAATTTAAACTTCATGACGAACAGCGAGAGACTATTGATTGATTATATCTTCAATGTTTTTTTTTTTATATTTCAGCTCAAAGTTTTTCGTGTCGCGTTGCATTTAGAAAAATGATCCATAGGCGATTTTTCATTGATATAAATTTGTAAAAATACTAAGAGAGATCATCAGTCGAGATTAGGTTTGTATTATTATTGGACAATGTTGTAGTTTTTAGTGTGTGTGTACAGCATTGCATAAATTGGGCATTTGACTTAATTGACACGCACGTGAGGATATGCCATGTCCTAATTTCAGTAAACAATTATTCCTAAGTTTCTACTTTTTAAGCAATAATTTTTCTGTGAGTAACTTTAGAGAAAATATTTTTAAAAGGCATCAAGATAATGTAAAAAGATGCCAACAAATTAGAAATTTTAAACAGATATCTTCAGGATTTTTAACTTGAAGCAACCGAATATTATACGTAATATTTCCTTTGTGTTGAGCTTTGTTGTAAAATGCGGTAGAACATTATACTGAAAATGTACAGTAATTTGCTGTCATCATTTCGTTGTGGGCAAACTATAACAAAATTTCTTCCGAGAGTTTCAGTATAGTTAGTCATAGTGTTCGATGCTAGTCAGGGGCTTGTACAAATAAAATAAGTAAGAACGATTTGTGTTTTGTTCAAAAACATAATATATAATTGTACAATAAAATGTCACAATTCAAACTTGCATCTAGTGTTTCTATCACCTTTGTGAACTAGTTTGATAAGATTTTTCGTATGGCCGCATTCCAGTATATACGCTATTCTGACGGATAGGAGATTAATTACTGTTGAAGTATTCGTCAGTGAAAGAAGACGAAGTAATCAAAGTGAAAGAGATAACATTGTTGAGACAATAATCCTTTATCATATATAATGATTCCATTAACTGCATTACTATCAAATAAAAATAAAAATATATAATTCAAGTATTCGATAGTCCATGTAGTCTATCAACGTCCGTACTCCACAGAAAAACAAAGTCATTTCCAAATTTTTTAATTCATTATTTCTTTGACAAAGCACTAAAACTTGATCTTAGAACATCAACGCATTTGAAATCACCCGTAGGTATTGATTTATTACCCCGCCCTGTCTACGTATATACCCGGCCGTATAACGGTTTATGTTTTTGTTAGATCGTCCACTGATCCATTTGATTAGTCAAGAAATAACGAGAAAACAACCACGCTAAGTCCCGAACTTTCGGCATCATCTTAATTGGTTTATTGTTAGTTCGTTTTCTACTAAATTCGAGGCTTGAACAGCAATATATTGCGATTGAGAACAAGAGTTTAATGTGTTTTGTGTTCAGTTTAAAGCATGGATTGAACTCCAAGTCGAAACCTAATGTGGCTGATTTACATATGAGATTTACTGTCGAAAGATAAATAAAAAGTAATTTCTGGGCACAGTTTTGAATTTTTTTCTTAGTTCATATATAGTGGCTTTTTGTTTCCAGCAAGAAAACGGTTAGGAAATAAGTTGAATTATTAGCGGTTCCATTTACTCGATATTCATAAATCCTGAAAAAATTTTCTATTGAAAGCTGATAGCAAGAAATTATTCAAACTATTGGTTATCATACGAGATATTAAACAAATGAACTACTATCCACCTATTTGAACAATATTGACCTCTATCGCTCACTCGACTGATGAGAACTTGGCCACGATAATACATACATATTCTATACACAAAAAATTGAAATTAATTATGGATATAACTTGCTTGGGGAAATATATTCAATATGCTCAATGATAGATTCCTCTTAATTTATTGGCCGCGACCGTCATTAACACATGAAGTCTTGTGGTGAAATACAGCAAATTTTAAGAATAAGCAGAATTGCACAGAAAATAAGTCACTAAACTTGAGTATTGTGTCATTTCGAATTCTACATTACGTAGACTGAAATTCCCAAGCATAAATTTTTGTAAAAAATTTAGCAGACGAGTTTTGTAAAAAATTTAGCAGACTCAATGTAGACGAGTTGTATGAATTACAACGTAACTATATCGACGTAAACAGCACAATTAATCTATTGGAGTTTATAGCCAATCCTTTCTAGAATTCAAACTTTTAACTAACAAGAAAAAGAATGATCTTCAAAAATATATTTTCTACTCAATTCTGCTGATGCTGCTGAACCTTTATTTCATTTTTCAAAAATTATTTCGTACGTTCAATATGAATTTCAAAACTTGAATACGACAAAATTATCTTGCATGTTTTCGTGCTCCCTGAAAAGACGTGCATAATGCATATCGTAGCCAGGTATGCGTGCGCCCTGAAAAGACGTGCATATCGTAGTCATGTATAACGAAAACTAAGCGCATGGGGGTAGAGATGACAATGAAACAAAGTTTAGTTTCCTTAGTTTATCTTTTCTTTATTAATTCAGTTAACTGCAACTTTATTAAAGCATAGACGTGTGTAGCTTGGTATGGCTGCGAGAACGGATATTGGTCCGGGAAGTTCCCGACTTAAGAGCGACGTGCTAGGTCTGCAGCCATTAGACCCCAGCAGTTTTGTTCAGTGCTGCCAAATAAATATAAATATGTATTTAAAACAATAAATCTCCATAATGATAACGAGATATACTATAGATATTTAGATGTAAAGATAATAGATAGATCTATTATCTCTATAGAAATTAGTATTATCCGTTTAATTTCTCCGTATATATTAAATATATTGATCAATTCAACAATTATGGACCAAGTTTAATGTAGGTTTAGGTCAATTATCACTTTTTAGTAATTTGGAGGGCACAGCCATCTATCAATTGAAAAGATATAGCATGCCAGCATGCAATGAAATAAATTCAATTAAATTTATATTGTATCTATTGAAATTAAATATTTATTATAGTATAATTATCTAAATTGAGTAGGGGCAACATCTGTATTCTAATTTGAGGTCAGAGGACAGAGTATAGCTATGGTGCACATAAAAGACTGAAGCATGTGCAATCTGCTGAAGCAAGAGCATGGTGCACATAAAAGACTGAAGCTGGTGCAATCTGCTGAAGCAAATGCGTGGTGTACATAAAAGATTGAAGCTGGTGCAATCTGCTGAAGCATGCAAGTGCGTGGTCCAACAAGGGCTCAAGAGATGTTGCGGACGTGGAGAACTTAACACATCATGACTCCCATCACATGCGACGACAAAGCAGTATCCGAACTCCGGTCATAGCGTCTTGGGATACTCTGGCAAAAAAATCGACAGCCGCAGGAGGTCTGATCACGGGATAAGGTGCTGGAGAGGACTGAAGATGGTTAGCCGAGTGACTATAGAAGTTCAGTTCCATTCAATTGGAATCCCGAAACCGCAAGCCTCTAATTCTAATACCTCAAAATCGATAGAGTGGAGCCAGGCAATTAATGTAGTTAAACTGTTACTCGGTACAGAAATTTATGATAGCCCAAAAAATCAGAGTTTTAGGGCTATTTTTAGCTTAGGCTACTAACGATAACTACGAAAGCCTGAAATTAAATTTTAATGAGAACCTTAATACTATACTATTTTCAATAAGGTATGCGTGCTCACTGATAAAACTTGCACCATGTAGCCAGGTATGCGTACTCACTGATAAGACGTGCATATCGTAGCCAGGTATGCGTGCTTCTAATAAGACGTGCATATCGTAGCATGGTACGCGTTCTCCCTAATAAAACGTGCATATTATAGTCAGGTATGCGTACTCACTGATAAGACGTGAATATCGTAGCCAGGTATGCGTGCTTCTGATAAGACGTGCATACCGTAGCTAGGTATGCGTGTTCCCTGATAAGACGTGCATATCGTAGTCAGGTATGCGTACTCCCTGATAAGACGTGCATATCGTAGCCAGGTATGCGTGCTCCCTGATATGACGATCATATCGTAGCCATGCAGGTATGCGTACTCCCTGATAAAACGTGAATATCGTAGGCAGGTATGCGTGCTCCCTTATAAGACAAGCATATCGTAGCCATGTATGCGTGTGGTCTGATAAGACGTGCATATCGTATAATCGTAGCCAGGTATGCGTGTGGTCTGATAAGACGTGTATATCGTAGCCAGGAATGCGTGTGGTCAGCCTGATAAGACGTGCATATCGTAGTCAGGTATGCGTGCGCTCTTTTAAAACGTGCATATCGTAGTCAAGTATGCGTGAGAATCATGGTGAACCAACGTCATAATACCACGATTTCACCACAAAACACGCTCTTCGGTGAAATTGAAAGTGTCTCAGTCGGGATGGCGTGACAAATGGTTTCTAAATAGATGATTTTAGTGCGATCGGTCGCACGATATGTCAAAATTTGTAAACGCAAAATACCCAAAATTGGCTACACGTGGTTTAAGTTCTAAGCACTTTTTGAGCGGATATAATCGTTTAGTTTCACGCAGAAAACAATGCGGCGGTACTAAGTTGTGTATTAACCTGTCACAAGTCCTGTCGATGAAGGTTAACAAATAGCATCGTATTCCAGACGCGGTAAACAAGCTCTGTTAGACCTAAAACCTTGATTTCACTTTCGTTTGCGACTTAAAAGTGACCACTAACCACACGGTGCTGGACCAGGGCTGTGTGAATCTTTCTCTGATCAAAAATTAACTTCACTTTTAGTGTTTTTTCTTACCCTGGGCAAACATCACGGAAAATTCAACTCATTTTTTATGCATAATTTTTAATTTATCTAGCATACGTTGATATTCTAGTATTAAATTCATTGGTGAATTGAAGTGCATCAGCCATGAGCTCAATAAAGACTATATAATTCAGGCGACGTGCATTATTGGCCAAAAAAAATTTGATTAAAAACTCGGCGAAGTTATTTATAAATTTCCCACATCAATCGTTTCTATTGAACAAAAACTAAATTTATTTACAAAGATTTTAAAATTAATGATAGCAGTTTTACAATTATTTATTGTCGACATAAAAAATATCTGAGCCTGCACCCATTTTAATAATTTTTGTCATCATTCTAATATTCAGACTATTACCTCAATAAACAAGTGGAGTTAGAGCGAACCAATTTAGTAAAGAATCTTATAGCAGCTAGATAGTTCCGACTGGTACGTATAATGGCTGCTGGCCGATTAGCTATGCTCTTAATGTAAATACTGAATACCGTCGTTACAAAGAGCATGTAGTGAAGAAATAAATATATATAAAAAGAAATATTGAAGATTCCCTAACTTTGTATATGTATAAAAGTATTCTACAGGGCAGTCAGTCAATTATATTAGCTTTCAAGTTTTGTAATCTTCCAATCCCCGATCACAAAAAAATATTTACAGAAAATTTTGCTGGATTATTAATCGGAATTTATTTGGGCCTTTGAAACGTTTTTAGATAATCCTGATTTGTGGTTTTGAATTATATGGTATCTCCCATTCCCTCTCCCTTTCCCTCTTTTAACATCGTCATTATTGGTTGGGGGCCGCCTCCTGCACAGTTGCTTCGAAAACTTTTTCAGCCTCGCCTCCTCTTAGTTAAGTTTACGTGCAGTGTTGAAACTGATTTTTATGTGAAACTGAATCTTTAAAACTAATTGGGTGTTTATGCTTAAATATTTTGTTGTTATACGTTGATATTCTACCTCTTTTTATAGTTAGTCTTCCCATTGTCTCCACTTTCGGTATTCCTTTCCATTTTGCTTCTCGATGTTCACTCATACACTCAATTGACAT